GTTTCAAATGAATCACATAAGGTGGTATTTATAGAAAATTTTGAATCTGAGCATTTACTAGGAAATTGCTAGGAAAAGTAGGTACAAAACATGTGTTTTATTTAAATTCGATATTTCCTATCTATTTCCTCCTAATTTCGTAGTAAGAAACTATTTCCTCCTAATTTCGTAGTAATATTTTACTACGCCTTTACGAGGAGAGTGTTTACAACGGCCTTACGAGGAAAAGTACTTTTTCCTCGTAATCTCCTCGTAAATTTACTAAGGTCTTACGAGGAAAGTGTTTCCTCGTAAGATTTCGAGGAACTTACGAGGAAATTTGCTTTCCTCGTAAGATCCTAGTAAAGGCTTAGTAAATTTACGAGGAAGAATTTTCCTAGTAAAATTTCCTAGTAAATGCTTTGTTTTCTTGTAGTGGCTGATGATTAACATGTTGAGTCTAAACAGAAACCACCTGAGCAACATATGGTTGATTTATTCTTGGACGCTTGGTCTTACGGACACTGCCACCAACCGGTATGTTCCTTATAGTCCCACCATGAGTCCACAATTGACAACAATTCTTGCAGGTGTAGCAAGGTTGATCCAAGCTATAGTTGTTGTAGTAACAGAACCTGGTGTTGGTGTGAGTAACACCTTGGACACATTCGTGGTGGAGGCTTCTCTCCATTCACCTGATGGTTCCCCCTCACCAAGTTGTTCATTTCTCCCAAGAGCTATACTTGGTCTTGTTGTTGTTGGAGTTGTTATTGTGATGATTTTTAGTGTTGGGGAAGGGGTGTTCTTATATAAGGTTCCTGGGGGCATGGAAACTGAAGAAGAGATACATTTTGTCTTTAAAAGACTGAGCAAAACGTGTCAGAGATTGTGTATTAATAAGATTGGAGACCTATCTACATACAATAAACCTAAGGCTAAGTTTAACTAGGGGTTGAATGGTAGAGCATTAGCATAAGGATTATGCTTTCTATTATCCAATTAACATTTGCTAAATAAGCATTTAGAAAAACATTTACCATATGCAAACTCTCCAAATGTTCTTTTCTCAATACTCTCTTATAGAGCTTTTGGGAAAACATCTGCAAATACAATATTTAAAACTTAAATATAATTATAATTAAATATATTTAAATATTTTGGGATAACTTTAACTATATAATTAAATATGTTTAATTTTTTTAAACGAAAAATATTTCATCTTTAAAATATAATATAATTTATATAATTACAGATATTATTCGTTATTTTTAATAAGAAACATATAATAATATATATATTTATTATAGTTATAAAAATATTATTTAGACACTAAGAAATAAATTATATAACATATATTAATTTTATGACAATTTTATACATGAATCATTTACTACTCTAACCATAAATAAATAATAATAATTTATATATAAATTATATAACATTAATTTATTTATTTCATAATATTAAAATATGTTTATATCCAAAAATAGTTAATATTTAAAAATAAAATTTACATTTTTAAATATAATTTATATAATGAATAAGATTCATTATTTTTAATAAAAATATATACTAATATATATTATTAATATATAAATATTATATGAAAATAAATATATTATTATATTAACTATTATAATAATTTTATAATTATATAATGCTAACTGCTTTGCCAATCACTTTATTAAATTTTTTATTGAATATATGCAGCTTGTACAACATACAACTTCTGCAGCATACTGCTACTGCTTTATACCAATCGAGCCAATCACGGCTCTTTTACTCTTTGGATGTATATAAAAATTTGAAAATTAATGAGTTCATGTTTTAATGAGTTAAGTGGTAAACATAAACAAAATCTAGGTATATTGAAAATGTAATGCCAAATAAAACATCATTAGGTGTTTATTATGAAAAAGAATATGTGTGAGCGTGTGTGGGCATGCGCGCACTTTCATTAGAGTAGAAAATATTTTTTTAATTATATAAAATCTTCACAAGATTTGGATCTTTTAATGAATACAAATATTGATAAAATGTTTAGTTGATAATTACCTCTTTTTTTAATCAAAGTTGATAATTACCTAATAAAAAGAAAAGAAGAAGTTAAACAATAATAACAAATACCTATTTTTCAAAATCGACGAAACATTTATAAATTAACTTACTAGGGTTGTAATAGTGATTTATTGTGGTAAAATTTGATTAGTGCTTTGTTAAGAGAGAAAATATAATGTGTGTGTGTCTTCATAATTAAGAGTTCATATTGGCACATCATAGAGATTATTGTTAAAAGATATACTTTAGGACACTTTTTCATATAGAAGATTGAATACATCTTGTGAGAATAGGCAGTAATCCTAAATAAAAAAGAAGACAAGGGACGCAACAAAACATTTTTTCTTTTTATCAAGATAATAAACAATATATGGATCATGAAACTTGCAAAAAAACGTAATAACAATTTCGATAGTAATAAGTTTTGAGAAATGTATGTGTGTGAGAAATTTAATTTATAACAGAAAATCCATGTATTAATGAATATCAAGAAAGCAAGAAACTCATAACAAAAAAGGTTTCTGTATTAAGTAGCTCAACTAACTAAACACTTGGACTTTGAGCTCGATGGTCATGTTCAGACTAGAGATGTCCAAACTAATTACATTTCAAATCGTTTTATTAACAATTTAACATCACAATCCTTCGAAGATTTATTCATTTCTTAGCAATGGAAATAAACAACGTAAATGCACAAAGAAATCTTTTTATACTTTTTTTTGCAGGGTCATTGTAAAGATTTGCCTCAGACCTCATCTTTGCCATTGTAGAAGTGTCTGAAAACACACGAAAAGTCCTTTCTTTCATGCCCATCCTCGCACAACTTCTTGTAACTGCAAAAAGAAACAAACTTAGAAGAGATGTGCACATAATCGTCACTAAAAAGAGTATTGCTCTTGAAAGTACTTACATCTCTTGTGCTTTGGATATCAATACGCTCCTGTGTCCAACTTCTTCAGCTGAAGCTTCTGCTAAGTTTAAGTCTTTAGCCTGCATTTTGAAATACCCAACAGTTATGAAAACAAAAGCAATGGGATCTACAACACAGAGACTTGTTAACAAACTGACCATAAGTCTGGAGGCGAAACCGCCATTGTAATCTCTTGAAGCGGGCACACCGTTCATCACTCCTGGAACTGGATTATATTTGTCGCTGTGGTTTTACGCATATGGTGATGAAGTTGAGTGTTTGGTACTCTAATTAGAAGGGCAGCTACTAAAACATTGGAAGAGTTCATTTCATGTACTTACCTACTCCAACATCGGCCACTAGATGTGTTTAGCACTTGTGTTAAAGTGGTGGCAGATATTCCAAGTGACTGACCAAGAGCTAAAGCTTCTGAAGTACCCAGCATACTCACAGCCATTGCCAAATTGTTACAAATCTTTGCAGCCTAAAAGGTTTGACAAAAGAAGATGGTATGCAGAAGAGCTTCTCAGTCTACATCTATAAGATCCATCAGACCAGTGTAGAAAAGATAATGGAAACGAGGCCTAGCAGTGAGCTTACAGATCCATTTCCTGAACCACCACAGTAGATGGAAGTTCTGCCCATTGACTCAAGTATTGGTCTTGCGGCTAAGAAAGCATCTTCAGGACCTCCAACCTACAAAACGTGCATTTCAAATTGTTGGTCTTATAGGTATTGTGCTGGATTATGTTATAGATATATAGTTAAGAGCATCTAGCAAGGATATGATTCAACCAATGGAAATGATAAGAGAGTAGACAAACATACCATGAAAGTAAGTGTACCAGCTTCTGCAGCAAGGACACCTCCTGAGACAGGAGCATCCAACATGACAGGCTTTTCCCAATTATCTGCATCAAAGATGCTTGAAAGTTGAAACTATTTAAAATGAAATACTCTCTATATTTTTTTCACAAGGAGAACAAAAACGGCTCAAAAATGATGTCATGAACTATTAGAAAAGTAACACATCATAAGAATAAGACTTTCGTTTAAATCATATCCATGATTTACCTCTCTTTTCTTTTAAATTACAATTGGAAACCGCAAGAGAGATTTTCCGTGTCGTCTGTGGATCAATGGTAGATGAATCTATTAACAAAGCAGGTCTTATAGCGTTGTCTCCATGAAGCAACCCATCTGTTCCTGTGTACACATCCATCACCTAAATGCATTGCATGCATTCTTCATGAATAAACATCAAATCAAGAGGACCACATTTTTTGAAGATTTACATTTCAACCATCTAATTACCATTCCCAGTATCAGGAAGTAAACTAAACAACAACAATGTTATCTAATAGACTAGTTATTTCCAAATATTTCCCTCTCATCATACAAAATTGTACTTCATATTGAACTCTTCATAAAATGCAACACAACTTACGTGTGATGAAGAAGGCAACATGGTAATCACAACTTGGCTATCTTGAGCAACTTCATAAGAAGTTTCTCTAGCAGAGACTCCCATGTCAGTAAACATCTTCATAGCATCACGGTTTCTGTGAAATAAAAAACAAGTGTATATGAGCAAAAACAAATGGATGCAGAGAGAGGCAAAAAGCAATAAAGGATGTTGTTACATGTCATGAACTGTAACGTTAAATCCAGCTTTAACTAGATTATTCACCATTCTTGATCCCATGTTCCCAAGCCCAATAAAGCCAACATCCTGAAGTAAAAAAAAAAAAAAAAAACAGAGTAAATTGACACCGACATTTATTATGAAGTTAAGATCTTTCCTTCAAACTATCTGAAAGATCATCAAAAAAAATCTGGAAATTAGCTAAAACTTTCAAAACCCACTAAAGAAACCTCTGAGACAGAGAGAGAAAAAAAAAACTATGAACCTGGAATTGAGTTGAAAGATGCGATGATGACGAAGAGAATCTGTGCAACCTCAAATAGGAGCCGGAGAAGAAACTGGTTTTTAATTTGGAAAGACAGAGTAAGGTTTGCGCTCTACGAATCGCCATTGATGATACTGAATCACTTCAGACCAAAAGAGCAGTTAGGAAAATTGACATGAGAGTGAGTGAGTGAGTCTCAGACGGAACTATCTGTTGTCTGTATCGTAGTCTCATGATCTGATCAATGAGTCATCAAATTTAGTTTTTGAATTCTTTACCCCGTAATTCTTGCTCACTTCTGCATAATTGACTTATACTTTCAATTTTATCAGTAAAACCCAGAACAATTAATCGTCCTTTCCGGTTTGTTGACTAGGCGTCAACCATGTAGGTGTAGGACCCATATGGCCATATCCCTTCTATATTTTATCGCTAATAAATGTATGACTGATCGAAATATTAATTACTCTTTTTCTGAATTGTCGCAGTGAATTCGTAAATTAATTTATTTCACATCTTCCCTGTAATTAATTTATTTCAAATTCCTCTGTTCACTTATATTTATTTTCTGTAATTTTTTAATATTGTCTGCGCAATTCTAGATTATTTTCCCAATGTGATCTCACACTCTGCACAAATATAACATTTTAACCCTCACTAAATTGAATAAAAGGCCATATTGGACAAAACCCTTTCCTGTCCACTCACTCTTTGCAGATTCGTTTGGCGGGTAAATCCCTAATTACAACATTATTATAGAAAAAAGACTGAATATTTCGTCTTTTACATCTGAAAAGTCTATGGAAAAGTAATAAATATTATTTGTTTTCTCGCCAATCAAAGAATTATATATATCCTTTTTTTATTTCCTTTTGAGTTCTTTTTCTATTTCCTGCTATTTTTCCCCTTCACACGCTTCAAGAATAGTAGTATCATTTTACACTCTTTGCCGAGTCCTTGTCGCTCGTCGTCACTGTCGTACATCAAAGCTCGCAATTTTTCTATCTTCGTCTTTTTTTTTTTTGGTCAAACTATCTTCGTCTTTCTGTTTCCCACCTACTCTGTTTGTTTAAAGTGTGAGTAACCCACAAAGATTCACACTTTCTCACTGTTTCACATTCTGCTCTGCTCAAAATCAAACCCAACACTCCGTAGTAGAGCAGTGCATGACCCTAAGGAAACAAATTGACTCTGCTTCCAAGTCTTCCGTCTTCTTCAACTCTCTCTTCATTGTTATTGCAGTGAAAGATTTTTAAGGTTTAAGAAAATCATTCCTTTCTCTCTCTTTATCTCTTTACTTTTGGGTGTTAAATCTTGAAATGGGACCCAATATTGAATATCCCAATTGTTCATTTATTGTTTCCTTTCCAGCTGATTCCCTTAGTTTCAAGGTTGTCTCTTCCTCACTTACTAGCATTTGCATTTTTGAATGATTAGGGCTTGAAGAAGGTGAGATTCCTTCACCTCATGCAGTGCCGGCTTACATGGGGGGGGGACAAACGGTGCGACCGCCCCAGGTCCAAACCCGTGTCCCCCCAATTTTACTAATTAAGGGGTCCAATATTTTTTTATACATATATATTTGTATATAAAAAATTTAAATATATACAATTTTAGTTGAATAGGACCCTAAAATATTTTACATATACATAATTTTAGTTGAGTAGGCCCTAAAATATTTTACATATACATGATTTATTTTTACCACAAATTTTATAAAGATGTTAATGATAAAAAAATTAGAATATATTTGAACTTTTAATAACTATAAATATTAAAAGTTTTTAAAAAATTTCGCCCAGGGCCCGTATAAATGTTGAGTCGGCCCTGACCTCATGTGCATTGCTTTTTTTTGGGGGGGAAAGTTTTGAACTTTATTTTTTTCTTTCTAAAGTTTGGAACTTTTGTTAGTAACTTTGATGGGGTTTTAAACTAACTTTGGGTTCATTAATTTTCCTGTCAGATTCACTAAAGTTCCATGAATGTTCTGCGTTGGTGAGCTGCTTGAAAAGTTGTTAGCTTTCTGCTTTATGAGGATGAATTTCTCCAGGATTTTGTTACTATCCATGTTCGTCCTCTCTGCAATGGGGCAGCTTTGTGAGATGATGATCTGAATAACTTCTGGTTCTTGGGCCACGAATGGGTTACAGAAGTGGTATTGGGCCTTTAGTCTTTAATGAAGCCCAAACGGATAAGTTGTCTACGGTGGGGTGCGTCGTAGTGAAGTAAACTGGTTGTTATAACAACCATATCTTATCTTCTTCTTTACGGGTGAGATGGCAAGAGTTGCTTTCNAACGGATAAGTTGTCTACGGTGGGGTGCGTCGTAGTGAAGTAAACTGGTTGTTATAACAACCATATCTTATCTTCTTCTTTACGGGTGAGATGGCAAGAGTTGCTTTCTGTGATCGCCATTGTTAGTCTGTAAAAAGCTTCTGTAACTGTGATCTAGTGGATTACCAGGTACCGACCTGAAGGAGACGTACCTCGTCACTTTGACAGGGAACTCTAAAACTTCGTGTGTGTACTTTCTTTAGCTCTACGTTTTCTTTCTTCGGTGTCAATCATTCGAGTTCTCGGAATCGCGAACCGATCACACGAGTGTAAACCTGAGAGAGAGAGAGAGAGAGAGTTAATCAGTAAGATACGAAGGAACGATTCTTCTACAATTGGTATCAGAGCCTCGTCGGAGGCAAAAGAAGCGGAGGATCGAGGTCTGAGTTCATCGTCGAGAGATAGATCAATAGGATCTCACCGGTGGGGCGAGAGATCATCTACAAAGACTCGAAACAGCTACATCAGGCTAATTCTGATTCTATCTCATATACTATCTCTTATTAATAGATTTGGTACTGCAGAAGTGTTGGATCATTGATTGCAGGTAACAGGTTGTTGCAACGTAATCATCGAGATGGATCCGACGAAAGGCAAGTTTGAGATAGAAAAGTTTGATGGAAAGGGAGATTTTGGTCTTTGGAAGTTCAAGATGATGGCGCAACTTGAGATACAGGGACTCTTGTCAGTACTCAAGGAAGAAGATACATCAGACGTGGATGCTGAGAAACTTGAAGAAGGGACTGTAGTGAAAGAGAAGGTCAAGAAAGCTGATAAAGATCTGCGAGTTCGAAGTCTGCTAAGTATATGTCTAAGCGATGTTATACTCAGGAAGATAATGAATGAAACAACTACTCTTGGGATGTGGAAGGCGCTTGAAAGAGACTATCAAACGAAGTCTCTTCCAAACAGAATATACCTCAAGAAGAAATTCTCGTGTTTCAAGATGGAAGAAGACAAGTCAATGGAGGAGAATTTTGACGTCTTCTTGAAGCTGGTAGCAGATCTAGCTAGCATAAAAATCAATGTTTCTGACGAGGATCAAGCCATACAGCTACTATCAGGTTTACCTTCGGCTTATGAACCTCTTGTTCATACACTCCAGTATGGAACTGGGAAGGACACTCTCACGGTCAACGAAGTCATCACAGCAACATATTCCAAGGAGCTGGAGTTGAAACAGAAAGGTCTGAATGTGAGGGGGAAGCAACAATCAGAGGGATTGTATAGTGAATCAAGAGGGAGGTCTACAAACAGGAACGAAGCGAGCAGCTCAAGGCACTGGAATGGGAAGTCAAAGAACAAGTTCAGGTCAAAATCTAGAGGAAGGCCAAGCACTAAACCAGATAAGTCATGTTGGACATGTGGAAGTGAAGATCACTGGAAAAGGGACTGTCCAGAGAGGAAGAAAAATGGTTCAAATTCTGCAAACGTTGCAGCAAGGTTGCCAGGACCGGTTGCTTTGACTGCAAGCTTGGTCGTGTCAAATGATGAATGGGTTCTAGACTCAGGCTGCACATTCCATATCACACCCAGAAAGGACTTACTGTGGGAGTTAGTAGAATTCGAAGGGAATAAGGTCATGATGGGAAACAACACTTTCTGCATTGTTAAAGGAATGGGAAAGCTCACAATTGAGAAACAAGATGGTTCGTTTGTGACATTAAGTGATGTACGCTACATACCAGATATGGGGAGAAACCTTATCTCATACGGTCAACTAGAGCAGGCTGGGTGCACGTACACCGGGAAAGGCTACATTGTTACATTCTACAAGAATGGAAGTACAACAACGGTCTGTACTATCTTCAGGGGACCATTAGAAGATCTGAAGTCAACACAGTCTCAGGTGGACCAAACCACACCAAGATTTGGCACGCAAGGTTGGCACACATGAGCATCAGATCAATGGAGACGCTAGCGAGGAAAGGCTACATTAAGAGAAATGAAGTCGGAAAGCTAGACTTCTGTGAAGGGTGCGCAATGGGAAAGGCCCACAAGCAGAAGTTACCGAGGGCAAAACATACAACAAAAGCTGTGCTGGATTACATACACTCAGATCTTTGGGGATCACCAAATACTGTTTCGAGCTTATCAGGGGCTCAATACTTCCTAACTTTTACTGATGATTACTCTAGAAAAGTTTGGATTTATTTCTTAAAAACGAAAACTGAAGTGTTTAATCATTTTGCAGAATGGAAAGCTCTAGTGGAAAACCAAATGGGCAAGAAGATCAAAAGTATGAGGACTGACAATGGGCTGGAATTCTGCAACCAAAGGTTCGACCAGTTGTGTAAGGAATCAGGGATTAGGAGACACAAGACTTGCCCATATACACCTCAACAAAATGGCATCTCGGAAAGAATGAACAGGTCCATTATGGATAAAGTGAGGTCTATGTTGAGTGATACAGGTTTGGATGGAAGCTACTGGGCTGAAGCGGCTTCAACTGCCGTCTACGTTATAAACAGATCACCATGTGCTTCTATAAGGTTCGAGATACCGGAAGAAAGATGGTCAGGCTTTAAACCAGACTATGATCACATGAGGAGTTTTGGTTGCATAGCGTATGTTCACCAGGTGAAAGAGAAAACCAGTCCAAGAGCAGCTAAAGGAGTGTTTCTCGGGTATGCAGAGGGAACCAGGGGCTACAGAGTTTGGCTCATAGAGGAGCAGAAGGTTGTTATTAGCAAGGATGTTGTCTTCAATGAGGAAAGACTCTATAAGGACAGAGACAAAGTCCAAGATAGTGTCTTAGACAAGCCGGTCACAAATCAGTGTACCAAAAAGGTTACTTTCAGAAGTGTACTTGAAGACATTTGCAAAGGAGAAAGTTCTGTTTCAGGTGGAGTTAGTCAGGAAACTCAGGCTGAAGAAGCAAAGAATGAAGAGACTACAGAGGAATCAGAAAGTGAAAATGAATCTGAGTCTGAAGAAGCTCCAGAAGAAAAAGAAGACTTGGAAAATTATCTGTTGGCAAGAGATAGAGTTAGAAGGAA